TTGCCTTCACTGCGTTCCCGGCACAGCATGGAAAGGTCAGAAAACTGCACAGCATTCGGCTTCGGCGCTCCAGAGCTTTTCACAGTCTCCTCTGGTGCAGTTTTTCAACGTCTAGATCAGCATCCTGCTTCTTCAGAAAACTGTGGCGCCCAGCTCCAGCGCCCAGGCGCATGGTCCTCTCCACGCCCTCCTCCGGCGCGGCCAGGTGGCTCCAGCTGCTCCACGGCCCAAAGTAGTAAATGTTATACATCATATTAACAGAGCCAAGGATGAAAACCTTATGATTACCTCAATAGATGCAGGAAAAAGTATTTGACAAAGTCCAACGTCTATTTATGATAAAATCCAATAGAAAACTGGAATATGTAGTCTTTATCTCAATTTGATAGAAGCCATCTATGACAAGCCAACAGCCAATATCATATTAAATGGACAAAAGCTGAAAGCTTTCTATTGGGTCCTGACCTAAATCCTCGATCTTCCAAACAAGTGTACAGTGGAGGTTAAATAAAAAGAGACAAATTGTATGATTTTTTTAAGGCTCCAGGAGGGTCAAAACACTTTAGTTGAGCTCCCGACTCTGAGGGCTATGAAGAAGAGTTCTCTGGATTAGCCCACTTTTTTTAGGACCAAAGACAAAAGGTGGAGAAATTGAGGAAAGCTCAAGAAATGAGCAGGACCTTGGGAGTTACTTTAAAGACTTCTCTAAGCAGTAAATTAAACCAATTTAGGAGAACCATCCTATCTCCAAGATAACATTTATGGTAGGTCTGAGATTGCAGGAGTGAGATGCCTACAACTGCAGTCTCTAGCTACTTAGTTAGTGTTGGAGCCAAGGTGTCTTTAGCTGTGGCCTTATCTTTACCTTTGAGGTATCTCTGGCCTCATAGGCCACTACAGGCCTCAGCCAGGACCAGTGATTCATAGAGGTTTACTTACTACGTATCAGCACCCATTGCTAGGCAAGGGGCCCGAGGCCTAGGACAGACTCACAGATAAACATAGAAAGCCAATTAGTAAAATTTAAATCCTGCTTAGAGCTGCTTCATAGTGGTCTCCAAAAAGCTTTTACTCTATAATCAGGAAAAAGTCAAGGATATTCATTGTGACCACTCTTATTTGATATAATTCTGAAAATGTTAGCCAGAGCAATTAGACAAGAAAAAGAAAGAAAAGGAATAAGAACAGGAAAGATGGACGTTAAATCATCATTATTCACAGATGACATGATAGTCTACATAGAGGACCCTAAAAACTCCATCAAGGACTTCTCGATTTAATAACCAAATTCAGTAGCATAGCTAGATACAAAGTCAATACTCAAAAATCAATAGCATTCCTATACACAAATAACAAATTCACTGAGAGAGAAATTATGGAAACAGTACATTTCATAGTAGCATCCAAAAAAATGAAATACCTAGGAATCAATCTAATGAAGGAAGTAAAAGACCTTTACATTGAAAACTATAGAACTCTAAAAAAGGAGATTCATGAGGATATCAAAAAATGGAAAGATATCTCTGGTTCTTGAACAGGAAGATCCAATATAGTGAAAATGGCCAATACTTCCAAAATTGTTATATAGATTTAATGCAATATCAATCAAAATATCAATAGCATATCTCACAGAGTTAGAGAAAACAATCCTAAAATTCATTTGAAACTAGAAGAGACCTACAATAGCAAAAGTAATTCTGGGCAATAAAGACAAGGCAGGTGGCAACACAATCTCTGACCTGAAATTATATTACCAAGCTGCTGTAATAAAAACAGCATGGTAGGCTGGGGATTTAGCTCAGTGGCATAAGCACCTGCTTGGCAAGCACAAGGTTTTGAGTTCAACTCCCAGTACAACTAGATCTGAGGGTCAGTGGAAGCATGCAAATACAATTGCAAATGTGTTCTGCCACCTTAGCTTTGACAAAGAAGACAAACACCTTCACTGGAAGAAAGATAGTCTCTTTAATAAATGATACTAGAGAAAATGGTTTTTCACATGCCAAAGACTAAAACTAGACCCTGATCTTTCGCTGTGCACTAAATTAAAATTGAAATGGATAAAAGATCTAAATATTAAAAACACTAAATCTGCTGGAATATAAAATAAGTAGAACTCTTGAAGACACTGGTGTAGGCAAAGACTTTACAAATAAAATCCCAAGCACACAGGAAATATCACAAAGAATCAACAACTGGCCTCTCATCATATTGAAAAGTTTTTGTACAGCAAAAGAAACCACCAACAAAGTGAAGAGAGAACCCAAAGTGTGGGGAAAAAATTTTTGCCAGCTGTTTTCCGACAAAGGACTAATATCTAGAATACATAAAAAACTTTAAAAAATCAGACCCTCCCCAATTTAAAGACTGAAATACAAAAACAGGTATCTAAAATACATACTTCTCAGATGGAGAAGTAAAAATGGGAAAAAAATATGAAAAAATGTTCAGCATCACTGGTCATTTGAGAGATGCAAATTAAAACAATGCTGAGATTCCACCTCACTTCAGAAAGAATGACTATTATTAAGAAATAAACCAATAACAAATACTGGCTGGGCTGTGAAAAGGAACCTTTCTCAACTGTTGGTCAGAGTTTAAAATGGTTCTACCACTGTAGAAATCAGTGTGGAAATTCCTCAAAAACTAAAATTGAAGTTCCATCCAACTCAGCTAATTCCCTTCTTGGTATCTTCCCAAAAGAATAAAAAGCATCATACCACTGCAATATATGCACACCCATGTTTACAGCACCAGTTTGTAAAAGCTAAGTGTTGGAAACTGCCCAAATGGCCATCAACTGATGAATGGATAAAGAAGATGTGGGTTGTTTTTTTTAATACAATGGAGAACTACTTTGCCATAAAGAAGGTAAGCCTGAACTATTTCTAGCTAAATGAATGCACTTTGAGCCCATACTCTTTTTCAATAGTTTTTTTTTTTTTTAATTGGTACTGGGGATCGAACTCACGACCATGCGCTTGCAAGGCAGGTGCTTATGCCGCTGAGCTAAATCCCCAGCCTCTGAGCCCATACTCTTAAGTGAAATAAATTGGACATACATTCTAAAAACTACTTTGTTTCTCTAGTGTGAGAAAGCAAAAGTGTAAATAAGAACCAAAATGTATAACAGATATTGGTAAATGGGAAGAAAATGTTAAAGTGAGAAGAACAAGGTGGGGGGAGAATAGATAAGAATAGAAAGAAAAAATGGAAACAAAGCTCTTGTAAATAAGGAGGGAAAGAAGGGAAGAGGAATGGGAAAAAAGCAAAATATATCATGTACATGTACAAATTCTCTATGATGAATATTATCATTATGTATATCTAAAATTTACTAGTAAAACAAAAAACACACACAAAAGAGTAGTTATACATAAATTACTGATCCATGTTTCATGTTTTCTCATCTTCAAATAGTGGTAAGACCCATTGCATAGGACTGTGGTAAGAACTACATAAAAGAATGTAGCTGGGGACACACCAGTAATCCCAGCACTTAGGAGCTTGAGACAAGAGGATTGCCCAGTTTGAGGCCTGCCTGAGCTACCTGGTGAGTTCAATGCCAGCATGAATTACATAGCAAGACCTGTCTTTAAAAAAAAAAACAAAAACAACAAAAAAAACATGTATGGAGGGCTGGAGATTAGCTTAGCAACATAAGTGCTTGCCTGGCAAGCGCATGATAGTTTGATACATGGTACCAAAAAATAAAAGAAAAAAAGTATGGAATGTGGTGAACACGTATACTTGGCATAAAGTATTAAGTATATGAGAATGTTACTTAATACTGAAAAATGGTATTAGAGGTGTATTTGTCAAAGCCCTAGCTTACAATTATGACTAGAAATTGACTGCGATTTTAGCCTATTAGCCTCTAAATCAAATGCGAATCAGATGCGAGCAAAAATGATGGCTTGCATGAGGTATCTTCCTTAAATCTCAGTTATGTGATCTTGGGTAGGTCACTAACCTATGAGCATCAGTTTCCTCATTTGTTAAAAGGAAACAATAACATTTCCTCATTTGTTAAAAGGAATCTATTTCGGGATTTAGCTCAGCGGCATAAGCGCCTGCCTTGCAAGCAGGCAGTCGTGAGTTCGATCCCAGGTACCGATAAAAAGGAAAAAGACAAAAAAAAAAAAAAAAAAAAAAAAGGAATCTATTTCATAACCTTAGTTATGAGCATTAAATGAGGTATCATGTGGAAAGTGTCTAGCACATAGCATTCTATGTTAGCTATGGTTATGATGATTCTAGTATGGATAAAGGAGAAAATAGTCTAAACAAAGAATGACAATATAAGGCCCCGGGATATAGCTCAGAGGCACAGCGCTTGTCTGGCAAACGCGAGAAGTTGTCAGTTCAATTCCTGATACACATAAAAAAGTTTCCAAAGCAGGGGCAGGCCTATAAATAAGTTCAACAGAAATCAGGAAGTTTTAGAATTCTGTAATGTCTATGAAAAGCCACCTACCACTATATTCATAGCAGTTAGTGTTGATTTAACATCAGACATTTAAAACTCTCCGAGAAAAAGATAAGGGTTTAGTCTCACATGGTACTTCTTAAGAAAAGTTCACGGTCGTAGAAGGAGAGCAAAAGCTAATGTAATTCCCTGAATGAAGTAACCAAGAGCCAAAAGCACAGAAGTGCGTCTCCGACTGCACGGCAACAAATTAAACATAATAGGATATTAAAGGGTGCTTCTGGAGGCCAAGCAGGAGGGGAATCGTGTCTGTAGAGAGAATGACAGCTAAGGGGTGGACGTGTGAAAAGGGCACATGGGTGCCTCGGAAGGTGCTGGGGGGGGGGTGGCAGCTCAAGAGCAGGATACGCATGTATAGAGGAAAAGTGTGGGCTGGGGCCTGCCCCGTGAGGGAGGAAGCTTCCCTCTCATACTAACGGCATGATCTCTCAGGCTCAGTGTCCCCTCAGGATTCCCCTCTAACAGCACCCAGCTGCTGGGAGGTTTCTTGTTCCCGCCACTTGTCTCTTACCTCGTCTTCCAGTTTTCCCTCACTCTCCCGCCTCCTGCCTCTCGCCGGAAGTGACGCTCTAAGTAGCGCGCCATACCGCGCCAGAAAGGTTCCGCGGGAGCGAGAGAAAGGGTTTCGGTGAGGTCCACTGCGCCGGCGTGCCGGCTGGAGCGGTCAAAGCGCCTTCCGGGCCTGAGAAACTGAGCTTTGTTTGTGTCTCGCTGTTTGGAAGTGCACCCAGCACGGATCAGATAGGCCACCGCTTTCTAAGCAACGTTTTCCTACAGCTCCGTCTTCTCTTGGTGCCGGCTACTCGGGCCCTTGCCCTTTGACCTCACTCCGGCGGCGGGGTGAGAGGTCGGGTGGCCATCTTGTGGCGGGGACGCGGGTGGCTGTTACTGCAGAGACCCATCCCCTCCCCCGCCTTGCACTTCTGACGATCTGTCAGTTGGTAAAGAGGCCCGCAATCTGTCAGGTGAGGCCCGGGACTTGTGCGGTAGCTCTTCTTTTCACATTGGGCGGCCCAGGCCGCTCCTTGCTGGGCCTCTCCGCCGCCACTATGTCCTCCTTCTCCGAGTCGGCGCTGGAGAAGAAGCTCTCGGAGCTGAGCAACTCTCAGCAGAGCGTGCAGACTCTATCCCTATGGCTCATCCACCATCGCAAGCACGCAGGACCCATCGTCTCTGTGTGGCACCGCGAGCTCCGCAAAGGTAAACATCCCCTCCTACTCCCCTGAGCGCTCCCGCTCCCCAGACCTTTATGGTTCCTTAGTTGAGCTTTGCATTTCAGGCTCGCCCTTCTGATACCGGAGACAGTGTTATCTCCCCCTTTTTGGAGTAAGAAACACACCCGTGAAAGGCCGGTCGGAGTGCTGGGGTCCGGGGTTCAGATGCCCAGCCTTGCAGACTTTCCCCCCCGCAGCCTCCTCCTGACACTTGCGGTTACTATTGTGTTTGCCGCATCTGGCGCCCATGCTGGCCCTCGGCGCCAGTTCGTTCGGCTTTTGGAGTTTTGGAGTAAAAGCCAGAGGGCCCTGGAGTCAAAGGGCTTAGATCCGCTCTGGCTCAGCCGCAGCTGACTGATACTGGGCCTGTTTCTTCACCTCCCTGGATGGTTGCTTGGTCGTTGTGTAAAACAGAGTCGAGGATGGCTGCCTCTTACGAAGCCTTGGACTCTGCCAGTCACCACACTTAGACCTTTGTGTACACACACTCACACTCGGACCTCCGCTCAGCATATAAACTGGGTAGCGTTATGCACCTGCCATTGAGTTCAGGCCCTGTTCAGGGTGACAGACATTCATGGGATTGAGCCTGTTTTGTGCAAGGCACCCTTTGGACACAATAGCAGGCTGCCTCTGACAATGGCCTGGAAGTCAAGGCTGACTTTGATACTTACTGACCGCAGTGGTCTTAGCCCGGCAGACCCTTAGTTACATTTTCTACAAAACGGAGATGGTAACAGATGCAAACTGTACCTTCAGTGTGTTCCAGGTGCAGTGCTAATGTCATTTTTTAAATTCTCGGAACCTTCTGAAGTAGGAATTTTGCAGATGGAGAAAATCGGAGAGTCAGATAAACAAATCGTGGTGAGAAATAAACAGGGTAATCCAAATGAACATGTAACATGCTGTCCACGCACAGTGTAGGCATTCAATCCTGCTGAGATGAGACTGTTGATCACTGGATGTGAGGCCTGGTTTTGTGCCTTCAGATTGCTTACAGTCTGGTGGAGACAGGCAGACACCTACACCGGCTGATATCCTGAGGAGTTTCGTGGTAGAAGGCTGAAGAAATGAAGCTCAAAGGTTTTCTAGACAGGCTGTATGCAGTGGGCCCTTTATAGTGTAGGAAGTGACTTTACATGTGTTTCTCTACTATCTCTGATGCCACCCTATTTTACAGATAAGAAAACTGAACTGGCTAAGTGGTATCTTCAAGTCCTGTGGACTGCTGAGGCTTGGACTACCTCAGGCTGTTAGATGCTCCATGTCAGGACTGATTCAGTAGATCCAATTTTAGTTGTCTAGTGGAGACCCCTGATCATAATGTTTTATATGGAGACAGGGATCTCTCTGCTCTCTGGGCATTTGGGGGTGGCGGGTAGAGCCTGAGCTCCTAGAACCTCCTTCATGTATGTGCCCCACTATGCCATTCAGATATTTGTGACATGTCTGAGGTCTGAAAAAAGTGCAAATTGCCTGTTTACAGAATCTTATCAGATAGGATCTCTTTGATTATCTAGAGACTGCCAAAGCTCATCTCAAATGTCACTTACCTTTTTGATTCCTCACTTTACCCTTGAGTTACTGAAAACTACAGTTAGATGTCTCTTTTGTCAAATGGCTCCAAGCTCAAACTTTCCACTACTCCAACAGCAAAGTTTGAAAAGCAATCTGCTTGGTATTCATAACTTTGCTCCATAGTCTAATAAAAAATCCGATTTGAAAAAAAGCTGTATGGGCCAAGAGTGAGTTTCACTGGGGACCCAAAGGGGTGATGCTTCAGTGTAAGGACTGCTTTCACACAGACAGCATGTAACGCAGCTTGTGTTAGTGCACTAAAACGTTCATCGTGGTGCTTTTTCTTTTTCGGTGCTTTATTTATGTAAAATATCGTAACTATGGTTGCAAAGAAAGTTAGTGATATGAATTATAAAGCAAAGAAGAAGACTGAGAATGGTGAGAGCTAAGGAAAGAAATCATTGTGAAATTTGTTGAACTCATGAAAGAGCAAATTTATAAGTGTCATGTTTGGGCCCCAGGACCAATTATTTGCTTTTCCATTATTTCTTGTGGGAAAAATATGTTCAGTTCTTAAACTTTTCCGTGTTTGAACATGAGTTTGGAATGAATTGAGTTGAACATCCAGGGTATTACTACGATAGAGTATATTGATTAATGAAGTTCCTTTTCCAAAATTTCATGTTGTAAATGGGCTGATACTGTTTCCATTTATAGATAAGAAGATAAAGATAGAGAGTAAGTGACTCGTTCAGGGGCATATACATGGGACATGAGCCCAGGGCTGACAGATGCCAAAACTTGTACCTTTTCAAGAATCTAGGACCTCAGTGAACTTACGAAGTCAAGCTGCTCATATCTGATAATAAATAAATCTATCATGCTTTTGTTTACTCGAATTAGTTACTGCCTACCAACCCATTATACCAGCTTAGCATTTTATTCTTAGTTGTTTTTAGATTGTGGGTTTTTTTTTGTCTTTTTGAGACAGGATCTCTCTATGTAGTTCAGGCTGGCCTTGAGCTCACTTTGTAGCTCTGGCTGGTCTCGAATGTGCAGCAATACTCCTGCCTCACTCTCCCGAGTGCTGGGATTACAGGCATGAGCCACCATGCCCGGCAATTAGATTGTGTTTTGAGGCAGAAATTTGATTTTCTGTTTTGCAGCATTTGACATAGTACCTGTTACGTAGTTTAAAAAGTTTAGAAGTGAAATTTTGGTTTCTGATTTTCATGTTTGAGTAAAAGATCTAAACAGCACTGCTTAATACCGACTTTTTGTAGCAGTTACAGTGTTTTATATCTATACTTTTCAACCAGGTGCCACATGGGGCTTTTGAGCACTTAAAGTATGTGATTAGGAAACTAAAGTTTTAAATAAATATAAAGAAATTTCAATTTCTAGGTTTACTGCCCACAAGTCAAGTGTCAGTAGCATATGTAGCTAATGGCTACCATTTCAGCACTGTGGTACTGGAATTCTTTTTCGGCATCAAGTTGCATCTTCCTCTGATTTCCAGGCTTCTTTCATGAATTGAAGATGCCCTTGCACTACAGTGGAAAACAATTTTGGGCCCTAATGTTCAAATTGTCTAGCCCCTTAGGTTCTAGCACATTGAAAAGTAGGCCCTTGTATCTACAAGTGAAGTCATTTTCCCTAAGATGTTCACTGAGTTACTATTAAAATGCTTGTGAGATGTACAGGAGTTACTTTTTCTCACTTAGATACTACTTTCTTCTGTCCCTTATGTGTTTTATTTCCATTCTCTAGAAATTATTCATAATTTATTCCTTTGGGCTCTGTTCAGAGTACAGTTTCTGCCTTCTTTATAGAATAGTTTGGTGAACATTGCTCTTAAACAGTCTTAGATGTGTAATTGTATTGTGTATATAGACCTGGACTCCAGTTACTGGGCTGATCTCAGGGGCTCTCTACTTCTGAAGTACACTCAGTTGCTCCCCTCCAGTTTTTTGAGACGAAGTCTCCCTGAGTGGTCCAGGCTGACCCTGACCTCGTGACCCTCCTGCCTTTACCTCCTCAGTAACTGGGATTACAGGCAGAGTGCCACCATACCCATTTGTAAAAATTACTTTTAAGATTTTTTTAGATGTCAAAACCAGCCAAACAGGTGAAAAATTTTGCTTACCCAGTTGTTTAAACTTTGCTCAGCTAGTTGTACCAGTTTGGAATTGACTCGGGTAGAGAGGGTGATAGAATCTACATTGTCCTATTGGAAAGTCATCTGAACAAGTTTTGCCCAGGGTTACAGTAGAGGGATGTGTCTATGTATTATTGTTGACTCTGTGTGTCCATGCTTTACACACACAGTGCTTATATTGACCATTTATGGTATTGAACATAGAGGGATATGAGTTTTTATTCTAACTAAACTCCTATGGTTAAGTTTAGAGGTGTTGAAAATTAATTGGCATTGTAGAGAGTGAAAACCTTTGTTCTCCTGGTAGATATATTTGTAATGAAAAATGCATTAGGTCTCGAATGTCCAAATTGACATTTTATATTGTGAATTACAAATTATTATTATTTTTTGATACTGGGGGTCAAACTCATGACCTCACACTTGTCAGGCAGGTGCTTACTCTGCTAAGCTAAATCCCAGCCCATGGATTTTTTTTTTTTTTAATAAAAAGTATATGGGCTTTCTGAAGCTCTACATAGTGAAATTTGTCGTATTCAAATTCTCATTTATTTTTGAATCCACTAACTTTCATATTATAGACTTGGTTGCTTTTACTTACTGCACTTAAAATAATGCCTTTTGCCATAGTCATACTTTTGTAGCAGTAGTATGGCTTTATGACTGTGGACACTTATTCTTGCTTTTGTGTAATAATTAGAACTTAAAAATAGCTCCAGGTTTCTGATATTCTTATCAGTTCACCATCTGAACTGGGTTATTACCAAGTTAGTACAATTCGGGATATTCATGATTAATTTTATGAGCATTTTAAGACATCAGTTTAAACTGTAATGTGCTTTGAAAATCTTGTTTTTAATTTGGGTTATTCTCCTGTAGTTATATTTTAAAATGTCATATCTCATGCCTGCTCTGTGCATTTCAAAAGTAGTAGAGAATTTCTGAGAGCCATAGAGCCATAGAGTCATTCAGGTGTGTAAAGTTGATATAGAGCTTATTTGAGTTTTTTTTAGGTACTTTCGCATTGGAGAAGACTTAGTGTTTTGAAATATCTAATAAAGTTCATATTTATTTTAAAAGAAAAATGGGACCACAAATGGTAGTGATATAACTTTATAGTTGAGAAGTTATGTGCATAAAAGCCATGAAAGTAATGTTCCCCCAAACAACAGTAATTCAGGCATGTTGCATGAGGTTTTTATGGCTTAATATATGGTACCATACAGAATAATAGGAAATGCTACATTTTGTATATATAACAGAGAAGAATTACGGCTTTTGTAGGAGCCATAATTTTGCATATCTAGATTTTAGAGGTGTGTGTGTGTGTGTAAATTTTCAAGAACAATGTAGCATTAATGCATGTTTATATTTGAGGTGAACATCCTTGGTGCATCTAGAGATTCCTTTGGCTTGAAGAGTTGATATCATTGACTGATTGTGGATACTGGAGTGCCAAAGATAGATTCTCAATTTAGGAGCATAAATTATAAGTAACCATATTTTAAAATTGAAACCCAACTCAATCTTTCATTCTGGAATATTTGATAGTGAAGAGTACGTTACAGATACTCATTTTTGCAGGAGAATAAATGAAAGCCTTCGTTTTAACATTAATATTGATAGTTTATCCTTCAGGAATTTTCTCTGGATTATCTTCATTCAATTATTATGGTTAAAATAGCAGAAATAAAGCTCGGCTAAAATAGATAATATTTGTCTTAATGTTCTTTAGGAATGGTCTAGTGCAAAAGAATTGTGTATTAAGAATTTCTTTGGTGTAAACTAAATTTTCTTCTGTTCTTTTTTTCAGCCAAATCAAATAGAAAGCTTACTTTTCTGTACTTAGCAAATGATGTGATCCAAAACAGTAAAAGGAAAGGACCTGAATTCACTAGAGAATTTGAATCTGTCCTTGTGGATGCCTTTTCTCATGTTGCCAGGTATGCTGTCTGGTTTTTGTTTATATTTTAGTATCTTTTCCACCTTTTTTTGTTCATTGCTTTTTTGTGGTAGCCTCTGTAAGTTAGTAACTTTGTACATTACAGAAGGTGTTACAGAGGCCAAATTGTGGTTTTATGTTTCACTGTTTCCTTAAGAACTATCTCAGGCTTATAAACATTTTGCTACATTAAAGAGATTCAGCCTAATACTGGAAGCACATCTTTGCCCTTATTTATTGAAATTATTTCTTGAGTGTGATTTTTTTTCCTCCCTTTTTTTGGCTGAATTCTCTTATTTATGATCAAGAAAACAAAGTTCAGTTGCATGAGGAAGCTTCTTGATAACATATCTTCAGTAGTGGAAATTGTTTATGTCTTGTTTATTTTTTTCTAGATGTCTAGTTTACTAAAAATAATAGCTTTATTGTAAGTGCAAAAATAATAATTCCTGCAGAAAAGTAGATATTCTGTCCAAACTGCATTAAGTCTATTACTACTGTGCTTTATGGCAGACATACAAGTAATATAGAAAGCATATGTTGGATGAAAAGTATTGTAAATCATTTTTATTTAAGATAACTGTTTTCAGTAGACACAAGTTAGGTTCCCAGGAAGAGCAAAGAAATACCTTTTTTTTTTGGTAAGCTATTTATAAATAAACTTATAAAAATGCACACTTTGCAAAAGAAAATTGGGAAGAGTGAAAGGAGACTGGTGGGTTACATGAAATTTATTCTAGCGTCTAAGATGTAAGTGAAGGGCCTTAAATGTGGAATTAGGTGTTTCCTGAAGAATTTGAAAAGTTTCAAGGCAAAAAATTAGAATTCCAAAACATAAAAAGAATATTTAGCTTTCTAGAGATGGAAAAAAATTTTAACTACATAGCTCCTCTTTTATTTTTTTGATGTATATACACACTGAAGTAGCAAAATTTGTTTTTAACTTGAAGAAATTACTGAATCCTTGTAATAGAGTCAGCTTCAGAACATACTACAAGAGTAGCTATCTGAAACCAGAGACAGAGATTTGTTTTGAAGAGATTTAGGTTACAGTTTTTAAGACACTGGCCATGCCTTGAATACTGTGTCAGTGATCCTTGCATGTGTTATTTAACTTTTTTAACCCAAGTTTCCTAATTAGTTAAAAGGGGATGATGCCCTGTCTCATTTGAGTTAGTGTGTTGAAAAGTATGTAGTATGCCGTCTGAGCCACATTCTTTGTTTCCTTATGTGAATATATTAATTATAAACTCCATTATGGGAAGGACCATTTCCTTTTTATCCCTTATTATTTGCCAGGCATCTAGTAAACTATCTGGTGCAGAGTTGCTGGGTTACCTAGCTTTATGGAATACCATTTACATAATCCTGATGTAAATGGTACCAAGACCTGACAACATTGTGCTCTGCCCGAGTACAGAGTAGGGATTCAGTAAATATCTTTTGAATGAGTTAATTAAAACTGACTGATGAGGGAGAGATTTGATTTAGGAAATGGACTGAAGTAATTTCCTATAGGAACAGTTAAAAAAACCCACATATTTAAAAATTGATCAATAATATTTAGCTGCCTTTAATCAGAAAAGGATAAATAGAAAGGATTGGGATGCTGGGCTTGGTGGTGCATGCCTGTAATCCCAGCACCCCAGGAAGCTGAGGCACAAGGAGCTCTATAACTTTGAGGTCAGTCTGGGCTCTACAATAAGTTCAAGGCAAGTGTGAACCACATAGTGAGACCCTGTCGCAAAAGAGCCAAGAAAAAAAAAAAAAGTAAGAGGCAGGAGAAAAGGACAGGTAATATTAGGTTTAAAAATCACTTTTCTACTTGGAAATACCCTAAAACCTATATAGGAGACACTGTGAGAACATCTTCTCAGATTCAACCTGGTCTTTCTCAGTAAAAAATAGCTATTAATTCCTGTTTTGCAATCTTGTAACTTTTTAAAGGTCCTGTTTGGGTATTGTATTCAGGACGTCTATGCTTCTAAGCTTCTTTTTCACCCCATTATTAGAACAGAGAGTTTAACATCTACTTTAGTCACAGTGTACCTTATCAACTAAGAGTATCCTAAGGTATGCTGTCTTTGCCTTTTCTTTTGCCAGCTGAGGAACAAAGACAGTTGACTCATCTTTATGATAATTCTCTACTGTCATTCCCAAACAAAAATCTTTCAGTTCAAGGAAAGTAGTCATGTTCAGAAGCAGATTTGCTTTGAAGAGCAATTTAATGGACCAGGTTGAGAAAATGCTAACCACAGAAGTGCCTTGTTTTCTTTTGTTTGGAGGTACATAGCATTTTTCATTCAACATATACAATATTTGAATGCCTACTACTGATCCTGATAATAGGGCCACAGCATAGAACAAGACAGGCAGAGGATCATGAAATGAACAAGTCACTGTGAGAGAGAGATGATATGGACATAGGAAAAAAAATATTGATGCTTTAGAGTGGGATCTCTTCTCACAGTATGATTAAGGAGGGCCTCAGGAAGTGACATTTGAGATAATCATGCAAAATAGGAACAGAACCTAAGGTAAAAATAATCTTGGCATCATAATAGAAACAGAGTGAAAACCAGTATGGTTAGAGCACAGTGAGCCAGGGGAGAAGTGGTACCCAAATAAAATCAGAGAGGTGGACAGCTACCAGTCAAGTATGCCCTGTAAACCTTAGGAGAGAGTTAGGATTTTATTCTGATAGGGTGTCCACGAAGAGTTTTAAGCCAAGGAATGATATAGTCCAGCATACATTTTACAAAGATTCTTCTTTAAAAATGGGTTGGTATGGAGAATGGATTTGTGAAAGCTGGTGACAGGAGAGACATGAGTTTGGAGAGTGTTGCTGTAGAACTGGTTACAGTTGACAGTGGCTAGAAATCAAGCAGCAAGAAGATAGCTTCCTTTTGTTGGTTGGATTTTTCTTTTCTCTGCATTTATATAAAATTTACAGGAGTGTAGGACTTGGGTAGACTAATAGTGAAGGAAAAGAAATTAAAGATGATTTTTGATGTAAATGGGTGGCTGATGGTGCTGTAACTGAACTGAAAAATAGGGAAAAGATTTGGTGAAGGAAATGAGTTTTGTTTAGGGGATGTTAAGTCTCAGGTGGCTAGTAGATATTCTAGGGTGTGATGCAGATAGGCAGGTGAATGAAACAATTTTAAGCTCCGTAGAAACTTATTTTCTGGAGACATAAATTTGGAAGTTACCATATACATTATATTTATTGTTGTGTGTGGGTCTGCAAGATATCTCCCACACATGGTGCCCCCCAGCCAGGAACACATAGCTGTGATTTACTATAGCTGAAGGATCCAAAGCAAAATCAGCAAAGGAAAAAGGGCATGTGGTAAAGAACACAAGGCATAACCTTTTAAGGGTTTCCTCCCAGGGGAGTCACACAAATAGAATTAATTTCTCCAGCTTTGAATTGTGACAGCAAGTATCAGATGAAGTCCAACAGTGTAGCTTATTAGAGACTCAGCACCCAGAATTTTTGTTGAGATTGGTCATGTAGACCGTCATGTATAGTAGTTCCAGGCTCACAGAAAGAAAGCAGGTATTCATTTGGGATCATATTGTTTGCACAGTTTACCCAAAGTTAAACATCACCCCCCCCTCCAACAGTTAGGAAATGACAGGAATATTCCTGCAGTCCCAAGATCCTAGATGTTAACCAAGTTGTTAACAGGCTTTTCTAAGGGGAGCAGGCCTCCAGCATTGTATGTTAACTCTTCCTGAGCAGTTGTAAAGGAGCATTTTGATCCAGCTTTACATGAGACATTATCGGAAGTATTACCATACTTACAAAGAGTACCTGCTCTTAGTGGGCCTACCATAGGGATAAGACAGACATACAAGTTTACAGTGATGATATTAAGAAAGTATCATAGGGCCGGAGGTTTAGCTCAGCAGCACAAGTGCCTGCCTGGCAAGTGCAAGGTTGTGTTTGATTCCTGGTACGGAAAAAACCCAACAAAACAAAACAAAAACAAATGGTCTGGGGATTTAGATCAGTGGCGTAAGCTCCTGCCTTGCAAGCACACAGTCATGAGTTCGATCCCCGGTACCGATTAAAAAAAAAAAAATGTCATAGAGCTAGCTACATAAAGAAAACTCCCCGGAGCCTTGCTTGGCAAGGCCTCAGATGTCCTGTCGACTTCAAATAGTAATTCTGTTTGTGTGTATGTCATATACTTCTTTACTTTTATGGTCGTTTTTGTTATCTGTATTAGAAAAGTGAGTTTAGTTGGAACTGACATGCAAATGAGGTATTTGATATAATAGTTGTGTAGGTAATTTTTATCATCTTCTAGTTTATTTAAAGATTGATGGCATTTTTGTAGTCTCTTCTCATTTAAAGATTTCTTGATGTAAAATGAAATTAGTGTAACCTGAAAAGATGGTCCCATTTTATAAAATTGCTTTATTGCTTTAACTGTGTCTAATTCCAGGTGCTAATGTGACTTCCATTTCATGGGACCTTATTCGAAAACCTCGTCAGTAAAAAGATTTAAATATTTTTCCTATAACTTTTGAAAGTTATCTAAGCAAAACTTTGCTTTGCTATAATATTCGAGGAAATACATTCTCAGTTATGTTCACTAATTAGAGCCCTGTTTAGCTTTAGCTTTTAATAGTGAAAATATTTGAAGATGTTCTGAGATTCCAATAAGATTGAGCAGTACTGTCCACTGATCATAGTGTGGCTGAAACTACGCTGAAAACCAGTCTTATCTGCAGTCCCAAATGCCCCCAGGAATGATGGATGTGGGTGAGTGGGTATCATGCCCCCACCCTCTCCACCCCTAATGGCTGAATAAGAGTCTCTTCTGATGATTGTTTTCTCTTTCTTTTAAGTGAACAGAATCTTCATAGAACAGATTTCACGTAAAAAGCACTACCCAGTCGATTAGCTTCTGCTTAGTTGTGATTTTATTATGTTAGACAAGACTTTATTTTTCTAAATCATACATTTGGTCACACTGCCTGCCGACCACATGCTTAGTATGGCCTTGCAGCCTTCTCTAATCTGATCCCAATCCATCCTTGAAGATTTTTCTGCTGTTTCTGTATATACCTTATGTATTTCAGCTACTTGAATTACAACTTCCCCTTTTTCTTTGTCTTATTCCGTTTTAGGGTTTCCGTTCATAGTAGAGGCAATACTAAGAGCAAAGGTAGATACCCAAGAAAGAGCAAGTTCTGACTGGAAGAGATGTATGGCTGAGTGTTGCTAGAATGTGAACCCGCAGATGGGGTTGAATAAAGGAAATGAGATAAGAGACCTGATGGGTTATTGGGTTCAAGTCCTAGAAGTCAGGGAGTGGACCTTATTCTTTGCATTCCAAGCATTGTATTCCATAAACCTCGATTGCTTGAGCTGGTAAATACTCATTTGATTTCTGACATGCTTGACCTTGATGCAGAAAGGTGATCCTTGAAATGTAATGAACTGATTGGCCATGTAAAAATTTTCAAAAATGAGAACAGTTAAGCAAACCATTTGTGCTCGTTGTAGGACATCCAGCAGTCATGGAAAAGATAAATCCCTGCCTTTGTGGCAATACATTCAAAAGGAAAGAGTGTGAATATGTAAACTGTATAGAGATCAGGAAAGGACTCTAAAAGGTAGTGTGGGACTAAGCATACACTTGAAGGAGGAGTAGAAATGAGCCATGTGACCACCTGGAGTAAAGCAAATTTTAAGTAAAAAAGAAAGCGTGGGTAGAAGATAAAGCCCAAGAACCAGTGGGCTGGGTTGAAAAAAGTCTTGAAGGCTTTATAATAAAGATTTTCACTTTTAATGGGGAGAAATATGATCTGTTTAACACAGCAGGTAGAAGTAGAATTGAGAGTAGCTATAGGAGGACTAGAGGAAAAGCAAGGAGCCCAGTAATGAAGCTATCGTAATCCAGTAAGGAGACGATAGTGACCTGGGCTGGGTTAATAGCAGAGGAAGAGGCAAGGAAAATTCATTTTGTGGAACTCATTTTTGAAGGTAGAATAAAGTGTCATATTAGATATGTCTTTGAACCCTACAAATTAACTATTTATAGAAGGGTTCCTCTTTTTTCCTTACCTTAAATTTTGACTTCAAAAATAAAAGTTTGATTAAGAAAAGGATAAATTTTTATATTTGTTGATTTAGTCTTTTGATCCCAGTTTAGTGACATATACCACTAATAATTCATAAGTCATACTGTAGCCAGGCCAACCTAAAACCTTATTTCATACTGAGTGTTAGCCTGAGCTTTACAAAATGTGCTGTCAGGATTGAGCATGTATAGGATTCTCATCTGATTGAATTCGATGTGGTTTCTTCTTAAAGTTTCTATTAAAGATGCTTGACTTAGGTCATAGATGTTGAAGTAGTTTTTCTTAAAATTTCTCAATATAAGATCATTGATATCCTTACAACCTCACTAAACAAGAACAATTCATAGGAACACACTGGGATGTGAGTAAATTTGGTGTCTGCTCAGAAAGTCTTTCCCCATTCTTTTACTTACTGTGTAACATACTGGATAGGCAGCAGATGTACACTGAGTGCTAATCATATTCCATGCCAGGAAGAATATTACCAAGCTTCTTTGAGATATAAAATACAAGAGGACAGCATTATTTGTGGTGTGTTCTAGGATGTCAACCAACACCTCTGTGAACATGGAGCATAGAAATAGTGTTAAAATAATTACAAAGTAAAGTTGAGATCAGTCTTGGCATATATGCATGTAGAGGTGTTGGTGTGTTAGTGTGATGAATTTCCCATTTTAAACATTTGTGCTTTTTAAATTTTCTTTTTAATTCTTAAAAGTATTTTTTTAATTTTCACTGGAATGTTTGGCACTATGTTTCAATAAGGGTTTCCAAAAAGGCAAGCTGTCACCATTAATATGATCAATTTTTGATTATTCTCTGTAAAAACCAATCATTGGCTTTTTCCAGTACTTGCCTCATCTTTCAGAGAGGAACACGTTTTATGCTCTGATATTATTCCTCTGTATTCCCCACCCATCACAGGAAAGGTCAGTTTCTGGTCAAGTTTTATGGTATCCAAGTAACACAATATGTGCCTTACTTTTCCTTCTGTTTTTAAATATGCAAATCATTTAGCCAGTTGTTGATTTCTTTTTTTTTTTTTTTTTAAAAGTAAATCTGTCCTAATTAAAAACAGAAGATCTTAAGCTTACATATATCTTTTCATCTTTTCTGGGCAGAGAGGCAGATGAAGGCTGTAAAAAACCCTTAGAAAGATTGCTGAACATCTGGCAAGAAAGAAGTGTGTATGGCGGCGAGTTCATACAGCAGCTGAAGCTGTCTATGGAGGACTCCAAGAGCCCTCCCCCCAAAGGTAGAAACATCACCACATGTTTACAGCTCTTGGTCTTTGCCTACTTTTGAATCAAATATGAAAAGCTGCAGTGGGGGTGCTGTGAACTACGAGCAATTTTATGATTCTTCAGAGAAAGATGATCATGAATGATGGTGAGAACTTACGTAGTGCTCGTGGTGTGCGAGCCTGGTTCTAGTACTCCTGCTCTTCATTCTCTCCCTAACTTTTGCTGTGTGTTCTCCTCAGCTTTCTTCTGTCTTTCAAAGATTTTTCTGCACAAGGGAAATGAACAAAGTTCCTCAGCATTATGGTTAACTAGGAAATAGCCTGTTAAGATTTTGTCCTACTCCTGCCATTAACTACTGCAGTTTTATGGAAGGATCTTTTTTTTTTTAAGTCAGTACCGGGGATTGAACTCACAACCGCCTGCTTGCAAGGCCAGTGCAAATGCCGCTGAGCTAAATCCTCAGCCCACTACTGCAGTTTTAGATAAGCCCTTCTAGAACTTGGTTTCATTAAATATCATTTTGGTTTTGGAACATATTCTTGTTGTGATTGTCAGATTGTGTCCTAAAATTCATTTTGATCTTTACTGGCCCCAGGATGTCTTGGGAAGTATGCATGTATATATGAATTTTACCAAGTTCTTCATAAGAGCTTTCAATTTTCAATTTTTCCTCTAAAGAATATGTTATTCGACATTTGACTTATGATTGGTTGTGATCCAATTCTAGTTGGCATAAATTTCTGAGCTGTAGATCGGATCTGACTGCTAAATACTCATTACGTGGAGGATCAAGTTGGAGTAAGAAAAGCTGTACTAGTAGTATTGAGGATCCTTTCTTATCTAGCCTGCTTTTTAGATTCTTCTCCTGCCATTTCCTTACTGACACTCTGTTCTTTGGCCACACTGAATTGCCATGCCCTCTGGATGCTCTGTGGGCAGCCCTACCCCTGTACATGCTCTTACCTCTGCCTGAGATGTCCCTCTGCCCCTTCACTGTGTGAATGCATTCTGCAAGAGGGTTGCTCTTGCTCTGATAGCTCTCTTGCTTGTCTGGGCACAGGGAACCATTCCCTTCTTGTTTATTAGTACTGTGTTCATACCTCTGCTGTAGAGCATACCATGATTAGTAGATGTGACAATATTGTTAATTCAGCAGTGCTTTACTGTGTACCTTTGTGATCTCTTCTAGGTCTAAAATTACATGCATTTTGCAGTAATTTTCCTGAAAAACTGAAGGTTAGAGGCTAAGATTGATAAGTATTTTTGGACTGTGGGTCATTGTTGTTTTACTTGGGAGTTCCTGGAAAATAATTCTAGGGTCATTCTGATGGTTGCTTTTGAAAAACAAGATGTTTCCTACTTTGGATTCTAATAGTACTGAAATTGTGTCCTTTGAAGGTGTTTGTTCTGTATAGCTTTCGGAATTATCCAGCATTCTTTTGTGTACTCTGCTTTACAGTTCATTTAGTAAACAGTGCTGAATTTTAAAAGTACCTTTGGGAAGCAGGTGAACTCTGAAAAGGGATGCTTGAAGCCAGTGTTGAATTTCAATTCAAGCATTTGCTGAACAGGTGCTCTGAGTAAACAGCTAAGTTAGGTGCAGAGCAAGAGAGGAATGAGAAATAGTTCTGCACTCAGGGAGCTGTCACCCAAATGAGAGAATTTGTGGCAGTATTGAAAGTAGTTCTAGGGGCTGGAGATTTAGCTCAGCAGCATAAGCGCCTGCCTTGCAAGCAGGCAGTTGTGAGTTCGATCCCCGGTACCGATAAAAAGGAAAAAGACAAAAAAAAAAAAAAAAAAGAAAGTAGTTCTGTTGGATTTCTAAATTTTGTTTCGTTTTGTTTTGAGGGTCTAGACAGACAGTCATAATGGACGCAGAATCTATGGAGATTAATGTTAATCTGAAGATAGTTTCTTTTTTGCTAGTCTTTAAGATGAAAACATATCAAGAGGTCCTAGCATGTATATTGGTTTTAGCTCACTGTCTTCCTACTGTCTTCTCTGGACTTGAGTTACTACAGTACTATAGTCCTTTCAAAATACCGATGATGAGATCTCCAAGAAATTATTCTCATTTGAATAGTCCATTATATTCCAGCTTTGATTCCTGGATAATTCTTTATCTTCAAGCTATTTCATAGAGTTTATGTTCGAAATAAAATTTTTCCTGCGGAACTTTGACAGTTCTTGTAACATGAGTCCATGGATGAGCCCAGGAATTTTGTTTTAGAACCGTAGATGTCTTGAGTTTTTTTATACTGTTAGTGCAAAGCCCCGGTATTCTAAAGTTGCTTGTCTGTTCTTGGGAATATTAAAGCTATTGCTTGATTGGATGGAAATTTATTAGTTACTTGAATCATACATGAATCATATAGTATTATGTGGTTGTGAAAAGCTCTAGAAAAGAAAGGAAGTGAACATAGGAACCAGCATTTATTAAGTACCAGTTGTAAACTAGCTTGTATTATTTTAGACCTTTTACAATTAGTTTTTGGGCTTAGTATTTTCATATGTCAGGTAAAGATAGTAAGGCTCAAAAAGGTATAGTAATTTTGTTTAAGGAGCTATAGTTAATGAGTGCTGATTTCAAACCTTGGTCTGTATGCTTTAAGGGTGATGTTCTTTGCATTGTACTTTTTCCCAAAAGCACATGGATTTATTTAATGGATTTGAATTAGTATGAATTGATGGGTAGGTATCCCAAATTGCCTGAGCCTCAGTTAAGTTTACACATTCAAATTTCCAGAGTATGAATCCCAGCTCTGTCACTTCTAAAGCTTTGTGACCTTGTCTCCATGTTTGACCTTTTTAAACCTCAGGTCTTCATTGTATAATGTGGCTGTTATTAATAATATCTCAGAGTTGTGATGAGGATTATTTGACATAATGCAGCTAAGATAGCAGTGGAGATATGATTTAGAGTCTCTATATATGAGTCAGCACAAGTAGGAGCAGATTCAGTTTCCTGGATTTTGTGCAAGGCTGGAGATGATGGTCATTAAGAGCTTGAGCTCTCAGCCCAGCCGCCCTAGGTTCTAGTATGGATTTAGTTGCTCTGTTCAGTGAGACGATGTGGGCAGATTGCTTTATAAAACCGTCCCTCAAGTGTTAGCCCTTTTTTGTTGCAGCCTCTTTTCTTCTCACAAGTAAAATTTAATGTACTTTTAAAAAACTTTATTTTGCAGGGAGGAGACAATCAGGGAACTATTGATGACAGTATTATCTGATTCTTTTTCTAAAAGTAATACAAAATCTCAAGTGTTAGTTTTTGTTTTGTTTTTAAATCCTAGAAATTTTCAAGTGTATTCTCATGAAGATCCAGGTTTGTAGGTAGATGGTTATGCTTTGTGATGTGAGTTAAGAGACTTCAGGCCAGCTTTTTGCCTTAAGATTAATTTCATAGTCTGCCATAATATTGGAATTTCTATCACAAGGTCTGTGAGAGATATACCATACCCTTATGTAACTCAGATTACTTGAAAGTTAGCTGAATACAAGGCCTCCTGGAGAAACAGGGACAAGCTGGATGATAGAAAGGAAGCTGAAGGGCTGTGAATTTAGCTCAGCAGTGTAAGTGTCTGCCTGAAAAGTGGGAGGCCCAGTATGAAAAAAAAAGAAGCTGGACAATATGAAGGTGAAGAACATTGACCACCTGCGGGGTTTGCCCTTCCTGGAAACAGTGTTTGAGTGAATAAAAAAGGAAGCCTAAGTCTAGGGTCATAATTGATAGTGGAAAACATTTTCAGTTTCAGTGCAGGGAGTTGAGAATATAGCTAAGTAGTGGAGTACTTGGACCATGCATGAAGTCCTGGGTTCGATCCCCAGCACCACCAAAAAAATTTTGGAAAATGTAAACTATGTAATAGACTGGCTATGGTGGTACATGCTACTTGGGAAGCTTAGTTGCAATTTCAAGTCCAACCTGGGCAACTTACCAAGACTTTGTTTCAAAATTAACAATGGAAAGTGCTCTGGGTGTAGGTCAGTGATGGAGCACTTGCTCAGCATGTGCAGGACTGTGGGTTTGATCCCAAGCATTGCAAACAAACAAACAAACAAAATTCTAGTGTAAGAATGTAACCAACAGATTTGCTAGGTATTTTTAGTGTTGTCTAACCCAGCTGAGAATTCTGGGCCTAATGCTGGCTAGCTTTGAAGTAATGATTTCACTTTTTGACGTAGCACAAGGACTTTCCCAAGCCTTGTGACTCCTCTCCCTTCAGGACATTGCCTACTCTGGTCAGAAGTAAAAGAATGAGAAACTTCCTCTCACAGAAGAAAGTTTACCAGCAACCCACTTCATTTCCTGTATAAAAACCAAAACGCCATCTCAGGATCCCCTGGTTGCTGATCTCAGGCCTCCTGTTGCCAAAATTCAGTGATCAGTAGGATCCTGAGATAGTAGTTTGGTTTTTATAAGTTACAGTAATTTCTGTGTGAAAGTCTGGAAACTGAAGGATTTCAAGTTATAATTTACTGTGTTTGACAATTTATTGAGCAGTCACGTATGTCCTTAGAAGCAAACAATAATTTTAAATTTTATTTTGATCTTTGTTCACATCCTAATGGCCACTCTTTTGATGCTATAGTGACTGAATGTGGGTCAGTGGCTTTATGTGGGTCACACCGCAGGCAGAACATTAAGCAGCTACTGTGTGCAAAGTACTATTGGGTATTTCATATGAAAACTATACCCTAATATGTTATCCATTTAAAAAAATAAGGCAGTCTTTGCTTTGCCTAGTAATACAAGGCTAAAGATGACTGTGCAAGCTGAAACTATATAAAGTGAACTTAGGAATCAATGGAGAAAATTACAATTGTTTTGTGATTTTTTTGGGGGGGTCAGAATTAAAAACTCACTGTTGTTTATAAATGTGTAGTAAAACAAAAGAATAAGACAGTTTATTGTGTAATAACATAATTAGAAATATTGAAGATTAAAGTGGTTTTTTTTTTTTTTTTTGTACCAAATTTATCAAAGAGTACCTTGAACAACACTTGCCTTCTAGTTACTAGAGCACCTGATACAGAGCAAGGATCCTTTCTGGGCTTTAGTGAATAACCCCACTTCCAGGGTTTATCCTCGGCACTCTCAGTGTTGTAAAATATCCCTGAGTGTTCCTCTGGCCTGAAGTTTTTGCCAACATCTCTTACAATAGGACCTGGCCATTCTTTTCATTACTACCACTGCTCTTCAGGAGGTTCTTGTGACTGAGGCTCACCTTCCTTGGGACTTCATTTCTGTGCCCCTGGAATTTCAGTTCCACCTTTTGCTTTTATTGTAGTTTCTTTGTGGCACTTTGATCTTTATGGCCAGCTCCCTATTTCTTTTATTCACTTTTATTAATTATTATATAGATTTACCCCTGCAAAATGCGGAAGCATGTCTACATGCTTTGCTGTCTGTATGTGAACCAAGTACAGTACCCTTGTGCAGTACCCTTGAAGAAGTGATGTGATTGGCCACTGACCACAATTTGGAGGCTGAAATATTAGAGAAATTTGTACTTTATCCAAGAATATAAAATTAATATGCATGATAACTGAAATTTGAGCTTTGTTGGACTAATACTTAACAACGGTAACTAATCCATGCATATTAGAATCATGCAAAGCAAGAACTACTGGTATTATAATATTGTTTTTTTAGTAGAAGAAACAAAAAAATTAAGAAAAAAATTTTTCTAATTTTTAGCTGGGCATGATGGCATATGCTGTAATCCCAGCACTCAAGAGGCTGAGGCAGGAGGATCGCTGTGAGTTCAACTGAATAGTGACCCTGTGTCAAAAAGACAAAAAAAAAAAAAAAGATTTATGCTGTTGACTGTTGACTTGGGTTTCTTCTTTTTTTTTTTTCCCCATCAGTACCAGGGATCGAACTCACAACTGCCTGCTTGCAAGGCAGGCGCTTATGCCGCTGAGCTAAATCCCCAGCCCCTAGTTAACTTGGATTTCACATTATAGTTTGGTCAGTTAATGTATAAGGTAGAAAATAAGAAGTACATACTTGACTCCAGAAGAAACCATTTCAGTGAAAAGAATATATTCTATATAAGTTATTCTTTGTGTAACTTGCAAATTTCTGAAGGGTGCCTGGTGTTCCCCTTTTTTTTTGACAGATGAGAGGGTACTTGTATTGTGCTTAATAATTTCAGCTCAGTGGAAAAGCACAGGTTTTGGAGGCATGCCTTTAAATTGAGTTTTTACCCTCCCCAGGCTTTTTGTTTCCTCTCCTGGGAAGTGAGATACTCTATCTTAAAAGTATTGGAAAGTTTAAATGTAAATAGGCTATTGCAGTGCCTTATACATGTTAGGTGTATAGAACTTCTTTACTTTCTAAACCAAAATCTACCATTTCAGTTTCCCATAGTTTGCCATTTATTTATTATTATCCAATTTGATGCAATAGAAATAATTTTAGATGTAGCACATTTGTCATAATATAAAAACATAAAGGTACAGATAATAAAAGGTAACCCATGAGCCTCAAGTGGTTAAATTAAAAATAGTAAGTTATGTAATTTCTCCCAGTGGTATCAATCATATTTTTCAGTAAAGGTTATTTTTTATCTTAAGGTATAATTAGCATTTTTTATTTTTAAAGGAGTACTTTAAAAGATATTTGTACAATATTTAGAATCTGGGACATAGTTTTATTGATGAATTATCTCATGTATTTTCCGAAATGATCTTTGGAAGCCATAAAATACCTAATTTTATGTGTAGTATGTTCTCAATAAATCCTTGTACACATTGGCTCACCTCATTATATTGTCTAATGGGTTTCTTAACATTTTACTTCTAGTGATTTTTTTCTTTAAAGATAATGGTGTTTTTAATTAAATATGATAACTTGGTGTGTTTTGCTTTTAGATTGTTGTTTTCAGTAGTGTTTCTCCAGTCAGTTTGAGATGACAGACCAAGACCTTTTTGACTCTTCAGTTAAGTAAGAAACTACAACTAACTTCAAATAACTGGCATAAAGGTTAATGTTAGGTTATCTCTGAAAATGAACACCCCTCTGCTCTGTTTTTACATGTGTTCCATTGTATGTAGCATTTGAGTTCCAAGTGTGGGATATGAGAATCAAATGTATCATTTTCCTTTCTTTTAGCAACAGAAGAGAAGAAATCCCTAAAGCGAACTTTTCAGCAAATACAGGAGGAGGAGGATGATGACTACCCTGGAAGCTACTCTCCCCAAGATCCTTCTGCAGGACCTCTCTTGGTATGTTTGCCTCCTAGAGAATAGGGCAAAGTGGCTTGAAGTGACCGGTAGTTGAAGATGGTGGCCACAAGGTGGCGTCGGTGACCAGTGGTATGGAAGCTCCAGAAGTGGGAGCTCTTCTGCTGCAAGAGCCACCCAGAGAAGCTTGCGTGCCTTGACTTAGGGATGGGTTTACCTTTTATAAAGTTCTTAGATTTTTTTTCTTCCACTGTTAAAAATAGTTTTTTGTGAGAGGGGTGATACTTTTAGTTTTCCGCTTTGGCTTGGCTCGAGTAGCTTGGTACTTACTTTTTATTTTTCTTTTTTAGTACTGGGAATCAAACCCAAGACCTTGCACTTACAAGACAGGCACTGTGCCACTGAGCTGTAGCCCCAATCCTTGGTGGTTTACTTCTATACTCCCAGTTTTATAAGTAAACAGCTCATTAGTATCTAAGGATAGACTCTGTGCTAATAGCAAGGTTGCTACACTGTAACCTGTTTAAACAGTAAAACACTATCTTTAATCATGTGCTTATATGATTTAGATTTTTATTAGGCAAGTTATCTTATAAAGTCTGTGGTTGTCTTATTTTGTCTCCTTATAGTCAAAGAAAATGAGGCTCAAGAAAATAGGCTGAATAACTTGGCCTGATGTCTTAACTTGAATCCAAGTCTGTCTGACTTCAGAGCCCGTTCCCTTTTCACTGGCTTGCACTGTCTCCTCTTATTTTTACCTCTTACAAATAGATGGTTTAAAGCCTCTGAAAATAGAAGCCTGTCTGGTTTGTATCGTGTGAAAATGATGGTTAGGCTGGGAATTAATGGACAGGAGTTTTGGGCCACATATCTGTACCTCAAAACTTTAAAAGAGAATAGCTTGGATTATCATCTTCCAGGGTAACCGAATTAACCATCTGTAGTCATTATGAACTGGCTTACCTGTCAGCATTCTGCTTTTTTTCTGACAATGTAATTAATCTGTTTTGATACTGGTGCATGCAGAATATGCATTCTTTATTTGCCTTCCTTGATTTTCCCCCTTTGTAGTTAATTTTACACATTTAATACAGAGGAGGTGATAATCATTTCATAAAGTAAACCCAAGAATTTAATAAGACAACACGTACTATATATATGTGTGCATGTGTTTTCATTACATGAAGTTTTATTCATATTGTGTTATAGATCTAGAAAATTAATTTTGTACATTCCCTTACAGTCTATGTCATTGACTTCTATATAAGTTCTGGAAGTAAGAACAATTTTTATTAAAAATCAGGAAGGGCCATTTTAAAATTTACTTTCGCCTCATTTAACTCCAGCAAAATTTCTTTGAATTGTGTGTCTTAATGAATGTCATTGTGTTTTCATTTTATGCTCTTCTAGACTGAAGAACTAATCAAAGCTTTGCAGGATCTTGAAAATGCTGCATCAGGGGATGCAACTGTTCGACAGAAAATTGCTTCTCTGCCCCAAGAAGTGCAAGATGTTTCTCTACTGGAAAAAATAACAGGTAGGAAGCTAGAGTCTAGGTAAAAGCAGGACTGATGTGTAGTTCCTCTGTAGGGCATTAAACCTTAGGATATGCTGATGCCTACAGGCATAACTTTATGTGTGATGCTTTGCCACCTTGTGATTTGCAAATGAATCACATGTAGAAGAAACACTTGGAATAGCCAAAGCTTGAGAAACAATTCTAAGAATTATTGTAGAAATGCCGATATATCACAACTTGTGGCACCTTAAATTTTGTTGGTAACGCAGTACAAAGTATGTCCATGTGGAGCAGTGTGGTTAGGGAGGAATCAGGCATTAAACTCCTGACTTTCTAAAAGAAAATAATTTATGATACAGGGCCTTGTGATTTATGCTCTGTACATTGGCAAGCCTATAGATGATTCAGTATTGAGAATTCCAAGTGTATACTTGGTCATGTCATGTTGCCCTAATGTTGACTAACTCCCAGTTAAACAGGGAAACTGACAACTATTCCTGCTTTCTGCATGGGAAGTTAAAGGGAAGGAATGAAGTAAGACTGTACTTTTGATGGTCTTTGAGGACTACTGCCTGTATATCCCCATGTTACATACAAAGAGATCAAGACATGTGAGAAGTTTGGTGTCTTGCCCAAAGCCATATAGGCAGTGGTATTGAGATTCCAACCCAGGCTGTGAGGTCTGTGCTCTTTCTATTGTAAAAGCACGGGCTTTTCATTCCACTATCTTGCAGAGGACACTATTCCATACCCCTGCCCCCAGTTTCTTGATTTGGCTGCTTCTCTAAATTTTTCCATATTCACTTAAAGAAATCAAGGCTACTCAAGAAGTACTTCCTTCATGCAACAAGTTATCTGAGGCTCACTGTACCCTTTGTCCCACCCATATTCCCACAGGGGTTAAGTACCAAGGAGTTTGAAATGATCTTTGAGCAGAAAACCAAAGAAATTAGGAACAGGTCGTGATACTTAGGAAAGGAATTACCAAAAGGCAGTACAGAGAAAGACCTGAAGGCTACATGTGCTTAGTGGGACAACACAGTGCAACAGAGAAGCCTTTGAAATTGCATGAGAGGCATCTATCTGTCCATCTGTCTGTCTATCTGCCTTTTTGAGAGATGGTTTTGTTATGCAGTTCAGGCTAGCCTTGAACTCACTTTGTAGCCCAGGCTACCCTCAAACTTGTAGCAGTCCCCTGCTGCAGCCTCCTGAGTGCTGATGAGAAGCATTTTACCACTCTTCATGTCTCCCTTCAGCCTAACTTTTGAGTCCTCATTATTTGTGCTCAGTATCTGCCCTCCCATATACACCATCAGCATCTTTTTCCTAACTGTAGCTGTCTGACAAAACCCTGATACTGGTTAGATCCATCTTTTAAAAAATCATTATTAAAGGGCTATTTATTTATCTGTATGTGGCACTGGGAATTGAACCTAGGGGCTTCACACTGACCTCTACCTCCTGCCTTTTAAAAATTCTTTTGGAAACAGGCTCAAACTTGCTCTCCTCTGCCTCAACCTTCCACGATGCTGGCTGGTATTACACCAGCACCAGCACACCTGGCTACTTATTTATTTACTGTGGTGCTGAGCATTGACCCAGGGCCACACGTAGATCAAACACTGCACTATTGACTACTCCCCAACCTATTTTTACTTTTAAATTGTGTACAAAATACGTAATAAAAAAGTATACGGTTCAGTGGTTTAAGTACTTTTACACTGTTGTGCAACCAGTTTCCAGAACTCTGTCTTGTGAAACTGAAACAGTATACTCACAATAACTAAACAATAGCTCATGTCTTATCTTTCTTACCTGTTGACAACCACCAGTCTGATATCCAGCTTTATTTCTCCTTTCTGTTCTTGTGCAAGAGAATGTTGCTAGGGAAAGTAGTTTATAAGCCCTAGCCTCACACTTCTCTGGAGGAACATGCTTTATTCTAAACCTTTCCTGTAAATTAAATTTGCCTACTTAAGGGTGACCTGAACTACAAAGTAAGACTGTCTCGAAAAAAGAGGGAGAAGGAGACAGGTGAAACAGAAGATGCCCTTCACTTCTGTATCTTTCATCTCTTCATTCTAACGGATCATTCTAAATAGTGTAGATGTGTAGAGTGTGCTAGAGCTTTAATCCAGGGCCATGAATATGCTGTATACTTGCTCTACCACTGTGCCATCCCCAACCCCATAACATTTTGCATTTTTTTCTCCCACATAGGAAAAAAAGTTCTTTGTTGTATATCCTTCTCTAGTCACTGCTTTATTTCTCTGGTTCAAATTCCCTCTGTCTGTCTCTATTTCTATCTTTCTGTCTGTCTCTATTTCTATCTCTCTGTCTCCTTGTCTTTCTCTCCTTCTATTCCCCTCTTCCCTTTCCTCTCTTTCTCTCTTTTCTCCCAGTCTCCTGTCTCCCTTTCCTTCTCTCTTTTCTTTTGAGACAGTGTCTTGCTTTGTAGCCCAGGCTGGCTTTGAACTCTTGATCATTCTGCCTTAGCCCTCTGAGAGCTGGAATTACAGGCATGCAGCCTGTACCCCCTTTTCTGTTCCTTTTAACACAACATCCTGAATGGATTACCTTGGCTGCCTCCACTTCCTGCCCATCTCTTTTCTTGATTCTACCTTACTGAACTTGCCCTTATCAAAGTTGCTTATGACTTTCATTGCCAGAGTCAATGGTGAATTCTCTGTACTTATTTTGACTTGACCCCTGGTAGCATTTGATCTGTTGATTATTTCTTCTGTCTGAAAATATGTTCTTTGCTTAATTTGGTAGATATAATAATATTCCCTCCTCAAAAGCCTGAGTCCACATTGCCAGAACCTTGAATATGTTATCTTACCTGGCAAAAAGAACTTGGCAGATGTGATTGGGTTTATGATCCAGAGTTAGAAAATTCTAGATTGTTCAGGTGGACCCAGTAATCAGAGGGTTCTTATAAAAGAGAAGGAGATAACTTTGGAAGCAGAGGTTGCAGGATGTGCTTCAGGTATGGAAGAAGGGGCTGAGATAACAAATAATACATTTATAATATTTTAAACCACTAATTTTGTGGGTTTTTTAGGCAGCAGTACCAAACTAGGACCCTATATTTTTCTAGCTTTCCTCCTATCTCTCTGGCAGCATCTTTTCTACTTCTTGGTGCTTTTTTTTCACTTCTTTTTGCCCTCTAAATGTTCTGTAGCTAGTTTCATGGAGCGCTCTATCCAATTTGTTGATGTGAAACAGTTTTTTTATGCTAGTAATGCCCTAATTTATGTCCTGATTGTTGACCTTGCCTTTTTACTTGAGCCCCTTATATCCACCCTTAGTTGAATGTTTGAAGCTTAACCTGTCCCAAACTGAACTTCTGAGCTTCCCTCTGAAAATAATTTTCCTCATGGTTTTCACCATTTCAGTAAATTCACCCCATTCCTGTTGATTGGGACCAAAACTAGTACTTGACATCTGTACAAGTCACAAGTCACTATCGTGCTCCTTGGAATAACTGCAATAGCTTCTTTTCCTTCCTTGTCTGCCACTTCTTTGTCTCTCATTCCCAGTCATCATCCTGTTCTTAACATTATGATAATCAGAGTGACTTTCTTAAATCAAAGTTGGATCACATCTCATCTTGCTCAGAACACCCCAACAGGTCAACCCCACCCTCCAGCCCCATTCACCCAGAGTAAAAGCCAGAAGCCTTCATGGCCTACACAGTCCGGCTGCTGTTGCGTCGTGGGCTTCACTGCTTTCCCTGTGCTCACTGTCAGATCCTCTGGGCTTCTTACCAGGCACCAGGCGTCCCCCCTGTCAGGGCCTTTGGGTTGGTGCTGTTCAGTGATCTTCCCCTTCCTTCAGGCCCTTGTTTATATATGTCACTCCACTGATGCCTGCCCTGACCACCATATTGAAAATTGCATCCCCCACCATCCCAATGACCCATTTCTTCTCCTCTGTACACTGTACTGTGTATTTGGTTTCTTTTCATATCTGAGACTGTAAACTCAAGAGCAGAGAGTATATATACTTTTTGTTCCCTGCACTCTCCAAGAACCTAGGTACTCAGAAGGTGCTCAGGTATTTGTTAGGTAGAATCAGAGGTTATCAGTAGAGGGTTGGTGGGTTTGAAAGCCTGAGTAGAGTCAATTTAGTAACGCGGCAGAGAGGAAGTGGCTACACTGAATATATACAGTTTGTTGTAGAAGGAGAGCAGGGAAATAGCTAGAGAGTGCTAGATACTAGTTGGTTGGCATAGCTGTAGATTTGCTTCTCTACTTCTTGAGGGAAAGAGGAACCGATGTTGCAGGGGTGACTTGAGGTGTGCCAGAAGCTAAGTCTCTGCCAGCTTGAGGGAGTAGGATGCCCATGCACAGGTGAGCAGCTGTCTGCAAGAGGCTCACTGCTGCGCCTCTGCCTCAGGGAGGGCCGACCCCTGGAGCATAGCCGCAGGTAAGTGCCCTGAAATCTTGCTTCTGCATTTGGAGTGGATTTTCTTTGTAACTCAGTGAAGTATAAAAAGTCATTTTTCTGGATTTCAATTATTTGTGTAAATAATTGACTTGTTTGTATAACTTTTTGTGGGTGAAAATTGACTTTTTAAAAATATTAAAAATTAAGTGTTTTTGGGCCAGGGATTTAGCTCAGTGGCATAAGTGCCTGCCTGACAAATGCAAGGTCATGAGTTCACTCTCCGGTCCCAAAAAAAAAAACAATTAAGTGTTTTCTTTGCTGTTTTTTGCCTGTTAAGCATCCTAATATATTAACCATTTAAGAAAAAAAAAGATTAATGAGGGAATAACAAAGTTAAAATCAGTCTACCCATACATACACACTTTTGTAGTTTTAGTCTCGCTACGATCCATACATAATTTTAGCACTTTTTTATAGATACAGATCCTCCTTTTGTTTCTTCTCATTTCCTTGTGCTGAACCTTTGTTCACCACTTCCCAAAGTATGACTCGTAGCCATTAATTGGATATATTGTCCAGTGGATAACTGGACTTTTTTGAACACTTTTTTGAAGTTGTACATAGTAAACGGAAGCACTGTTTTATGAAACATTACTGTTGTTTTTATGTTTATAAACAATGTGTTTCTGTAGCAGGTCATGATTAAAAAACACTTGAAAGCCTCTGTTCTTTACCAAACCCTTTATTTTGCTGAATGTAGAAAGGGAGCTTATACCCAGGCTCAAGGCTTACACTGTTTTATTTTATTTTTATTTTTTTGGTACCAGGGATCGAACTCCTGACCTCATGCTTTCCAGGCAGGCACTTAACACCACTGAGCTAAATCCCCAGGCCTAAGGCTTACACTGTTAAGGAAGTAGAGTCCTCTAAGTCCGTCTCTTTGAGTCCCAGATCAGCTGACTGCATGTTGAACCTGTCATGTTGCTTTTACTTATTTTTGTTTCAGTTTACAGAGCAAGCAAGGAAAACTTGCTTTTTTATTTCAGAGGAATGTAAAAAGTATATTAACAAAATAATACGAACAAAAGCATTTGAACTGCACAGTGGCAAGAAAAATCATTTCATGGATGACTTTAAATATCTTTCTGTTTTGTTTGTACAGCTTTTACAGGAATAGACATTTAAAAGTATTAGCCAGATTTCCCTCCCTATACAGTTGCCTCACTTCAGGTAATTCAGAGTGAAAGCCTTTGGGTTTCTTAGCCAGCCAACTCATTGTCCACAGGTCCTGGCTCATTCTTTGCTATGATAGGAGAGAAACGGTAAGCCTCCCCCAGAAATGCTTGCAATTGTACCTGTGTGATTTTCATTTTTGTCTCTATTTTTTGGTCTCATTTATACTTAGACAAAGAGGCAGCTGAACGTCTTTCAAAAACAGTAGATGAAGCATGTCTGTTACTAGCAGAGTATAACGGGCGCCTGGCAGCAGAACTGGAAGACCGGCGCCAGCTGGCTCGGATGTTGGTGGAGTACACCCAGAATCAGAAAGATGTTTTGTCAGAAAAGGAGAAAAAGCTAGAAGTGAGTACATTGCAAAACAGACTCAGATTCCCCAGATTTCTCTTTCTATAGCCCACATTAACAATTTTTTAGTGCATTAATTAACATGTTTTTCTTTTATAAATTGATGAGATCGGAACACCCATTAGAAATTATAAACATTTGAGCCTAGTTAAAAATTAAAGTCATGTTTTTGTATGTCCAGAAAAAAGCAAATTGGATTGTAGAAAATAGTGAACTCTTAATACAGTACTTAGGATTTTAATATTGAGTTAGTTTTACCTTACATTAAAAACAAAGTGCACGTCAAAGTGCAGAAAGAATGCTTTTTTGGTGATATACAGGAAGTGCTTTAAAATTTCTATTGTGGTGTTCTGAGATTTATTTCTGACTTGTATCAGTTCTAATTTATCTGCCTCTAAGCTCTTTCTGTGTCAACTTTAAAGTGTTACAATAATGTTTAAGGAGCCTGATTTTTTTGCTGTTGAGAAGGAACATATTTTGGCCCTGAGTTGAGGGCATGAGTCTAAGGGCTCTTCGGAGGGATTCGGAACCATTTGTTACTATATATTGTTTGGCTCTTTGATTAGTACCTGGTTTAGCTTCAGTGCCTAGTTCACTCATGGTGAATCTTTGAGAGCTTTCAGTAATACAAACAGCCTGCCACGGCATGCGTGCTTTAAGTTTGCTATCACTGGCCTAGTCTTTTTGGATGACAGACAGCAGAGTGGACATTTGAGGATTTTTGCTTGTCCCATGCTACTAAGCTTCCTTTTTATGAATTGTTTACTGTTTTCTTTTTAAAAGATACGTGGAAGAATCTTAGCCAGTTGTTCTGTGAAGGGAGGACAGATCTGAGTTGAAGAATCAGTCACATTCTGTTATAAGAAACACTTTCTTAAAGCCCAGTAAAGGAACAGCAAAGTCACCCTTCCCTCAAACTCGGGCACTTGTTTTCTGGCTCTGAAGGAGGGAACACTGCGTTAGCTCAGACTGAGATTGTAGTATTTATTGGTCATCCCACACAGTCATTGAGCACTGTATTTTTCTTGTGTCTTTTCCTGCACTTATTTATTTATTTATTTTATCGGTACTGGGGATCGAACTCATGACCGCCTGCTTGCAAGGCAGGTGCTTATGCCACTGAGCTAAATCCCCAGCCCATACCTACCTGCACTTATTATGGGTTGGGTGGTGGTGGTAGGGCCTTCATGTTTGTACCCAGCTTGACTATAGAAGATTGGAAACAGCGATAAAAATGCTTGGATTTCTGGCACTGACCAGAAGTCCTAAAGGGAGTTTCATAGGCAGTACCAGACGGTCATTTATCTGAAATGCTCATCTTTCACTGAGGAAGCATTTTCAGCACTGTACCCTGGGATTAATAAGAGAGTATAATTAATGATTCTGGTTGTAAGTCACCATGCCATCTGTTGAACTGCCCCTCAGCGACACATTAAGGGCTTCCTCTGATCTGTCAGACATTGATTATCATGAGCAGCTGTTATTGAGTGGGACATGGCAAGCTACCATAGAGGACAGAGTCTTTGAGAAGGAGACTGTTGGTAGAGCTGTTAAGTGTTTGTTTTGTCATCGTCCCTCACTTTCCTATTTCTTCAAGAATCATTTTGGCTTCTGTAGAACCAGTGGTTTACTGTGTACCATGCGAGGTGACTGAGGCATTGAAATGGAACAGAGATTTGGCTGTGTTTTGTACTTTTCCACTCACACTCCTCTGCTAGTTCATTCACTGGAGTGGCACTGCAATCCCCGTGGTTAAGAAGAATAGAAAGGCCTCAGCACTGCAAAACCCAGGATATGAACTAAAGATTCCTGTCCCAAACCATGTCTTTCAGCCACTTGGACAGAAACATTTATTATAAAAATAGAGCAAAATTAGGTGCCTTTTAGAAAATAAATGGTTAGATAAAACATGAGCTGTTAAGAGATGGCTATAGTTCTTTATCGGTGCTTGTTGGAAATGTGGACTGTCTATTCAGAATCTTGCTTTCTCTCACTTCTCATTATCAGATGGTCTTATTACATTGTATCTTTGTGGTGGTGGTAACACCTGATGTGCAACCTGAAAGGTGTTATTGATATTATGAATTTCTCCAAATCCTCCAAAAGTCCCTTGCTGATAAGAATTCTGCATTGGGTGTACCAGTGGTTTTTAACCTTCCATTTTTGTTGCACAGACCTTATTTTATAACTGCCAAATCAGAATACTAATTAAATCTTTCATTTTTAATCTTCTCATTGCCTTCAGTGTGTAAAAATAAAGAGACTCTTAGGACTCTTTGAAATATGATTTTTCTTGGCGTTCTGTCCCTCCTTTGAGTTTTAATTTGTTAACATTTAGTTGATATTTTCTTTTTTCAATTTTTGTATTCTCTTATGTAACAAGCATATCTTTTCTTTCACTTGAGAATTTTATGTTAGATTTTTGTGGCTCCTAAACCATTTTTGTGGAGATAAGCAGAGTGTTGGTGCAGAGCCTGGAATGTAGAGGGGAGTTAGGGCTCATATGGGAGATTGTGTTTCAAGGAAGTCATTGTGGTATAAACAGCATAGGTAAACACAAAACCATACTAACTGATTGCGCATAATATAGATTAAGGAGACAGTTGGCAAACCTGATTGTGGCTTGGTAAATTCTAAACATCCTTTCAGATAATAAAGCCTTTTTGTAAAAGGAAGCAGCAATTGAAGGAGAGAAGTATATTTATAAAAGGGGAGCAGCCAGATTAGTCCAGACAGGCATGTGAAGAAAGACAAACACAGAGGGTGTGGGAAAGAGGTCTTGGAGACGACCGGTGGGAAATAAGGGTCTTGAAGAGGCTACTTTAACATTCAGAGTCAGCAGCGTCTGTACCAGTCAATAGATGTACAGAAATGAGCAAGACATGCTCCTCAGATCAGATGTTTATTGAAAATATAAGGAAATTATCAAATGCACGGGCTCTTTGTTAAACCATATGATTCAGCAAGACTTCCAAAGTCTGCTAGACTATGTTCATTGATAGCTCTCACAGTGTCAGGAATATATTTCTCAATAAATATTCTGTGATTGAAATTTATCACTTGATGTAACCTTTTCCTGTTAAGAAAATGTTATTTTTAGGTTGCATTATTGGTTTAACAAATCTGATTTGTTGGTTATAAAGAGCGAGTTAGTAAAGGTGACAATTTGATGGAAACTCTTATGGGTTTTCTGTTTTGTTCTACTTCAGGTACAATTGTGGTTCATTTTAAGATAATAGTCTTTTATTTTTATTGTCTTATTTTCCTTCTGCATGTGATGAGTGGCCTTGGCCTGTCACCTTTCCCTTAAACTCAGGGCAAGGTGAAAAAGAAAGCTGCTGAAAATCTGTTTATAATGTCTTGTCATAAACATCAAAAAAATTAAAAATAGAAAATCAGACATGTAGAAATAAGTGCAAATAATAGCCCAGAGATAAGGTATGTAATATGGGGCTCCAGAAGAAGGTTGATAAAAGATTTGGAGTTTGTTTTGTTTTTGTTTGTTGCAGTAGTGAGGATCAAACCAAAACCAAGGGTGCTCTATCATTGAGTTGTATCACTCACCGATCTTTTTTTTTTTTTTTTTTTTTTTTTTGAGTCAGGGTCTCACTGTGTAGACCAGGCTGGTCTTGAACTTGTAATCCTTGGACCTCAGCCTGCTTAGTAGCTAGGATTACAGGCATGCATCTTCATACCTGGCTTTGGTTTGGGTTTCCTCTCCCAACTCCCTTCTTGTTTTTGTGTTTTTGCAACAAGGGGTCTGGCTATGTTCAGTAGAATGGCCTTAATCTCAAGTGCTGGTGTGATTCCTCTGCCTCAGTCTCCCAAGCAGCTGGGATTCCAGGCATGCACTACCATGCCCATCTTGAAGGTTGATTCAGAAAGATAAAGATGAAAAATATCAGAAAAGTCTTTGAACATTGTTTCTTAGAACAAAACAAAGAATTTTTTTGTTAACAGAAGTGACTGTTACCCAAGTAACTGCTCAAGTTCAAAAGCCTTGCCCTGAGTTGGTCAGCCAGAATCTTTGTTATCAGTGTGGGTAGAGCATGATGTGAGTATGATAGTCAAAGCCAAACAGTTAAAGAAGTGGGGCGGTCTATTTGTACAAACATTTAAAAATTTCAGAAAGTGTCAGGTATGTGTAATTTCGCCAGGTATGTGTAACAGTTTTTTGCAGGCTGCTCATGGTGTCTGTCAGTGTTCTACAACTAAAAGGGGGCCAGCCTACTTGTATAGCATATTGAGGCATAATAATTACATGCCATTCAGGGAAGGACTCCAGGAGATAGAAGATGTAATAATCCTAGATACAGATTTGTTCATTGATTGAGGTGAAATTCATATAGCCCTAAATTAACCATCTTAAAGAGTATACATTTCAGTGGCATTTAGCATATTCACAGCATTATCCAACTATCACCTGTAAATGTCTGGCTTCTTTCACTTAGCATGGTCTTATGGTTCAACTGTATACTATAGTGTATCAGTACTTCACTCCTATTTATGGGTGAATCTTAATAATATAAAAGTTACATGGTTCTACCATTTATCTGTGAATTTTTTGTTAATGAACATTTGAATTCTGCTGCTTGATTGTTACTAATGATGTTATTGTAGATGCTCCACTTATGTACAATCTTTTATGTGGGCACATATTTTCATTTGTGTTGGATATTTATATATCTAGGAGTAGAGTTGCTAGATCATATGGTAATCTTGCATTTAACTGCCTTTTTTTTTTTTTTTTTTTTGTCTTGTTGAAACAGGGTCTCACTATGCAATTCAGGCTGGCCTTGAGCTCACTTAGTAGCCCAGGCTGGTCTTAAACTCGCAGTGATCGTCCTGCCTCAGCTTCTCAAGTGCTGGGATAACAGGCATGTGCCTCCATGCCCAGCTGCATTTAACTTCTTAAGGAATCACCAAAATGTTTCCATAGTAGCTACAGTATTTTATATTACCACCAGCAGTGTAAAAGTATTCTAGTTTCTTCACGT